GAATGTGATGCTGTCGCTACTGTAAACGTCGGAGTTGTCATGGAAGTCGAAGCGCGTAGAGATTTCAGGAGTGATTGTTGTTGTCGACGATGATGGGGACGAAAAACACAAGTTGGAGCCATCCAGAGCGGGCTGCATCTCTGGAGGGTAGTAGGTAAGCATGGGTTGGAACAGCTCGAGTGAGAGAACCTGGAGAAGTTGTGTACGTCAGACGAGTCACATAGATGGTTAATAGTGCGATATGCTCACCTGGTCAGTGTCGGGCTCGAGAGTTAGGGTGGGAATGTCATCGGTGGGGACGAAAGAATCAGGGGTATAGGCAACTTGAGGAGAGGCCTCCGTACTAGACTTGACGACAGTGGATGGTGCTGGCTCTGAGTCGGCGGAAGTGTGAACCTCAACATCCGCGGAGGTAGATAGCCTCGGCGAGACGCTGGCAGCGGGTCGACGGGAGTAGGGCGCGTCGACCCTCTGCGCAGCGCGACGAGAGCGAACAGAGCGTTGAGGGCCGACATAAGATGACTCGTCATCGACCTCCTCCCCCAACTGAACGGCGGCTTGCTCGAGAGCATCACCCTGAACGCCGCTGATCAAGAGCTCCGCGAGCTGCTTGCAGTGCTTCACCTCTGAGCTGGCATCCTTCCTCGTCCTTTTCTTTCCCGACTTGGTCTTGTAAATGGGGGCGTACTTGTATCCAGGATAGCGCGCCTTATGCTGCTGCTTCTCGATAGCGGCGAGATGGTGAAACGGCATCTTCAACTCGTCGGACATCTTCTGCCAAAGGTGGCCGGCAATACGACTGATCTGGCGGTGGTCCCGCTCGTGGATTCTCCCAGACCGACAGAGATCAGAGCGGAAGAACATGAATGCATTTCGAGGACGAGGAATGTGGCCTTCCTTGCGTTTGCGCCCATGGGAGGCACGCGGAGGAAGAAACGCAGGAGCATCCTTGTCGCTCTCAGCCTCAGAGTGAAGCTCGATGGTAGAGGGGGTAGAAGTGGACGGATGGGTGATATGAGTGGCGGAGGCAGCAGACGTGGCCCGGGCGACGAGTGCAGTGGGATACTGAAGTTCGAGTTCCTCCAGATCGTAGTCTTCGTACTCTACAAACAACGCTCAGCGATGGACCCACAAAGACAAATGTTGAGCAAATAATGGACATACCTGGGTCAGCCGGCGGCGGGCGGTTTGAAAGTCGACGAGAACGACGAATAGACGGTACGTTGCGGAATACTGGCATTGCTTGTCTAGCTAATGAAGTGTGTAAAGCAGGTCGATACGTGTGCGAGAGATCGAGAGTACAGGAGCTCGAAGAAGTCCGGAGAACTGGGAGTACAGTTTCCTAGACCTCCTCGAGCTCAGGTCTTTTAAAGTCTCTTGAAAAATGGATACTCGAGCCTGAGAAGTATTCTTCTCACTGTTCGTCCAAAATGAGTACTCTCCGCCTCGCGTTCAACACGTTTCCTGCACTTCAAGATGCGATCATAGATGTGTATTCTCGCTTTCTGAGTGGTCTCTCGTACGTATCGTTCCGTTCAAAATTTTGCGGCTAAAATTCTTGTATATCTGACGACAAGCAATAGTACCTTGTGTTGAACAGAGAAAATGATCCTCTATCCCGCGAAAATTATACGTCGCTACCACGCAGCGCCTGTACCTTCAAGACCTCTCAACAGTTGCCATATCCGTACAAAAGGTCGACTGGAGGTCCCACTAGATCTGTCATTAAATCCAGCGCACGTCTAGTTTTTTGGAGCATACCCTGGCATCTGGCACCCGTAGTTCTGTGGCTCATCCTAGCCAAATTTGGGGCCGGCTTAAAGCACATCACCATTCTGGAATCTAGCAATGCCGCAACACTCGATTTTAGGGATCACACTCCCGCCGCACCCATCCCGTCCCTTCTCGGCCTCGTTATCACCTTCACATCTGTTAATTTTGCATTGCTTCTCTGACGTTCGCTCTGGCTCTCATAGGATGCCACTCGTACGCAATAGCTTGAAGCTGCATACACTCGTCAGCAGACGTACACCTGCCCTAGCAAGTACCATGCCAGCTTAATTTGCCACTCGCTTATCTGACAGGTCATCACCACTCCAGCCTAGCTCGAGCTGAGAGCTCTGAAGTGTATTTCATAGTTTTCTGTATGGCGACCCATTTTCCAGGTTCATCGAAATTCCAAGATCTACACGCGTTGTAAGTAAAGGAGTTACCTCCAAATCGCCTACGCTATCCTTGGCTAGAGACATTCGGACTAGACAATACAGAACTCTTGTTAGTAATTTCGCACGATTATCTAACTCCAGGTCTTGAACGTTCAGACGCGCTTCGCTGCAAAGCCGCTTTGCATTCGAACCACAACAAGAAGTCGCACACAAACGCTCCTTTCACACGGTACATATGTACTCATAAACAGTAACATCGTATGTTTATCCAGTGGCACTGCCGCCAGTTAGATTGATGGATGACACGTAGGCAACCCTACATTTCTGCGTGCTGTGACAATGGGAGCTTTGACAAGGTACAGCAATTGTTCTACTCCTCATCCTCATCGTCTGCGGATTCTATCCCACTTGCATCGGCATATTGGTTCCGACCGCTTCCGTGACCAGCCTCAACCTTCTCCTTGCGACGCTTTGAACCTGCGATCATGTCCCTGTGCGAAGCAGATCAGTGATCCAGATAGCAAACAACCGACCACAACATCACGTTTCACAACAACGCCGAGTGGCACAAGGTTCAGAAATATACAACATACCGTTTCTTGATGGCGTCCGCCCTCCCAACACGTCGTGCACTGTTGACCGCGTCAGCGCGTTTGACCTTGCCCATTTGGCGACGCTTCATTTTCGAGGGTTTAGGTAGTTTAACCACCCACTCTGGAACCGTCGAGCCAGACTGCAAAATAACATTCGCAATACTGTCATTGTGAGCGAGTGGCACCATCAATATTTGGTTCAGCTAATAATAACGGCAGAACGCGAAATTAAACCCACGTCTTGAGGAAGGGTGCATCCTGGTCGGTGAAGTAAGTGACGGCTTTGCCTTCTCTCCCAGCACGGCCCGTTCGACCTGTAAGATATCAAAAGAGGCCATTGTGGTCAGTTTTCGTCATACTAATCCGTCGGAGTAAAGAGCGAAAAGTCGGGTTAAACCCACCTATACGATGTACATAGCTTTGCACGCTTTGGGGGAAGTCATAGTTGATGACTTCTCGCACGCCTTTGAAGTCCATGCCTCGAGCCATAACCTCAGTGCATACCATGATCCAACTCTCGCCTTTGCGCATCCTACTGACGGTATCTTCGCGCTCTTTTTTCGTCATTCCGGCATGAAGACAATCGACATTCGGAGTTCCGGATAACACGAGTTCTTCCGCAAGAGATGATGCACGAGGCTGCGTCGAGACAAAAACTAATAAAGGAGGGTTGTACGGTTGCGAAAGATGCTGGAGTAGGGTTGGTAATTTAGATGCATCATCCGCAACATAGGTCAACGATTGTGCTATCAGCGGTAGGGGAGTATCTCTAAGTTCAAGCGGTTCAGCATGTTGGCAGATAATCGTAACAGGAAACAAACTTACTTTAGACCAACAACAACTCGTATAGGATCTCGGAGCATTCCCAGAGCAATTTTTTCTGCATTCGCCGGAAGTGTCGCGCTGAAAACTGCCTTCTGGACATCGGGATGCGTGCATGCGGCAACCACCTCTTGTACCTGTTCTAGGAATTCTGAATCTAGCATGCGATCTGCCTCATCCAATATGATATGTCGAACACTATTTCCCAAAAGTTAATCCAGCTGAGCATGCAAATTCTGTGGAAAGCGACGTACTTGTCTAGCTCCAGGTTTCCTGCTTGCATTGCAGCCATCATACGTAGAGGAGTGCTAATTATGACGTCTAGAAACAATTTTTTCGGTAAGCGCACTATCCATAACATCTGGCGAAGGTAACATACCAACTTTATCCCTTACAGCCTTATCCACTAACGTACTAGCCGTCGCCTTACTGAACAGGACAATTCTCCACTTCCGCTTCTGCGCGAGCTTTAAACACTCGTTGTGTATTTGATGAGCGAGTTCGCGGGTAGGCGCAAGGATGAGTGCTCTGACACCTGAACCCATATCATTCCCTGAATACTTGGCTATCGGTGCGTCGAGTAGCGACATTGTAGGGAGAAGGTATGTGAGGGTCTTGCCTGTACCGGTGGGGGAGATGGCTGCAAGGTCTCGTTTCTGAATAATAGGTAAGCTGCTACGCTTCGCACAGTCAGCATAAACTAAACCGATTTACCTCAAGTAAAATAGGGATCCCGTGAGCTTGAATGCCTGTCGGGTATTTGTATCCGCTGTCGGCTAGGTTTGATAGTAGCTTAGATTGAAGGTTGTACCTTGCACTCAACTCCTCAAATGACTCTACTGGCCGTGGAGCATTGTTCCCCTTTGCCGTTACGCGCTGCCGCGGTACAGTCGAGGTAGATGCCTGCTGTGACTCTTCATCATCATCTTCGTCCAACTCTTCTTCAGTCACAAGCTTCGCTTTCTTCGACCCTTTCTCTGCCTTTTCCTCATCACCCTTGCGCTTTCCAGAGCCCCCTTGACTATATTTGAAAAAGTCCAATTCTGCAGGAAGTCCAGAGGTGTTATCGATTGCCACTGCTTTCCCCTTCTCATCCACCTTCGGATTCTACATGTTTGAAAGGTAAATGAGCAGAACAGTACTCAGTACTTTCAAGAAGAAATATCCTTAAACGCACGATGAACAGTTGGACATCATTCCCAAACCTTTTCTTGTCAAAAACCACTCCTCCTCGTGATAGTAACTGGAAAGCCTCCATGGGTGGTGAGTGAGATGAATAAGAATTGAATATTGAAGTTTGCGGTCTGAGTCGAAATGTGTGCGCTTCAATGTCGCATCGTACAGTACACCACAAGAAGCCAGTATTTTAAAAGAACCTACCACATCTATATCATAGATATTATTTTGAAGCGCGCTTGTGGCACTATAGTGTAGTGGCAATCACTCAGGATTTTGACATGATAGTTTCCTGAAACCCAGGTTCGAATCCTGCGCCTTTGGAGTAACAATGTTTTCGTTTTCGTCATTTTACCATGAGCAGGTATCCAATATTCAAATATCTACATGGGAAATACTTTAGGCCAGCAGCGATATACGCTCTACTTTTGACATAGTTTGAAAGAAAAGAAAAAAGAAGGTGCTACCAGGGTTCGAACCTGGGTTTCAGGAAATTATCAAATCAAAATCCTGAGTGATAACCACTACACTATAGCACCGCATACTTGACTCTTATAATTAAGTTAATTATACTATATAATGCTAACCTCTGATCCACTTCAGCTGCTTTCCACTTCTCGCCACCCCGACGTCATGTTTCTTTCCTCTGCTTCGCTATATAAGCCCATAGCCATGGTCCCGACACCGCTCATCCGTACTCTCTGTTTATCACCACCACTACGACAAATATGATCCGCTCAGCATTCTCTTCAATCTCCCCTGTGGTTTTTGCATCCTCCTCACGCCGGACGTTCCACAGGACCCCCATCGCGGCGAAGACAGTGTCTGAAACGGCTCATGATGCACGATCGTTTCCATGGTCATGTTGATATCATATAAACTGATGAATTAACCAGGTCAACATTAAAGTTGGAAAAGGTTTAGCATCCGTAATTGAGAAGGGCGAGCGAGCAGCAGATGCCACCAAGCATGCGGTCGGTATGTATACGCATCTCAACGCAAGCAGCCAGCTTATTCACAGTATGAGCTGTAGGCGGCTCAAGTGTGAAGGATGTCGCGGAAAATGTAAGAGGCGTACAACACCTATGCCACATAGCCCCAGTGCTCAATTATTGTTGTAGGTCGAACGGTCGGTTAGACAAGGACTCGCATCCGCACTCGGGACGGGCAAGCGAGCCACAGAAGGAACCAAACAAACACTAGGTACATAAATGTTCTGGAGATGTTATGAGGGAACTAATATCAATTCCAATTATACTTCAGCCAATACGAAGGAGACCGCCAATGTTGCCGGGCAGAAAGCCGATCGAGTTCGTCCTACTTCTTTCGTTCATGAGTTTTGCGGTGCTTGACGAAGTATGTAGGCTGCAGCAGGTGCGCGTGAAGGAAAGGAAGGCTTTAAAACAGATGCTAAGAAGGAGCTTCGCAAATAATCTACACATCTGGTCCGTATTTATACGCGATGTCCATAATATTGAAGAACTAGGACTCAAGAACGTCTAACTACCCGTATTAAAAATACGTAAAAATCGTCGTGAGCACGTCAACCACTTTCCTGCTACAGGAATGTGTCGCAGAAGATCACCAAGGATCACCTCATCCTCGGTAACAAGGCATGTCTCGCATTTAGATCTAAAAACCGACCACCCGTGCTCAACTTAGAAACGTATTCATATAGGACCGCATATTCAACCTCGCCCAGAGTGTTCTTATACTCCACCCTTGAGACAATACCGACAAAATAGAGCAAATTAAACTTTCCGTTACCCACGGACGACTTTGGAGCGATTGCCGGCTGCGCATCGTCTTACGTTCGCCTGCATATGTACAACCACAGCCGTAACCATTCGGTATGCTCCTGGATCGCGCAAGGCTGTTCTCCACTCTATCGATCGGTCATTGCACCCGCTACCATCCGCTTCCTACGCACGCACTCCTGTCATACTCTCGGTCGGCATTCCATAGGAACTCTTAGAAGCTGTGAGTTGCCTTTTTTACTTCATTTTTCAAATCATGATTCACTAATCAATCTATCCTCTGCTTCTCTCTGAATGGTCTTCTGGATGTTTTCAAAATCACTTGCATCATTGTACACACGATGATCAGCGAGATTCACTATCTTTCACTGTAGCTCTATGGCGCTCCGGTGTTGCGCCATAACATTTCTGTGTTGCTGGGATTACCGAAGATGAAGGACGACACGCGATCAAGATGTCTCATATTCTAGGATAGATCTGTGACCACAGCGCCTTAATGTGTTTGAACCAGTCCTTTCATACCCGTTGATTGTCCCGTATCATTGTCTAAGACCGGCTACAATATGGCCACCTGCTTCTGCTGATAAAATGAATTGGTACGTATATCTACTCTCATTCAGGGCTAGGATAAGTAGCAAGCAGATCTCCTTCGACTAGCCGTGCCTACTACCGGTCCTGCACCTCAGAACCTTCAATTTCGACTCCGTAGATTATGGCCGGCGAAATGGATGTAGAGTTTATGGCAGGACCGCTGCTCGCGCTCATATGCTTTGCTCTCATGTAAGTTGATTCAATTTTCCATAATCGACCATATACTCAATAATATTTCTTACAGTTTGTTTGGAGTATTCACCGCACAGATCTATTATTACTGGCTATCATATGAAGATGATTCTCCTTTCCTGCGACACTACGTGTGTGCTTTGTGGTACGTACCAGGATATCTTTAATATCTGTAGTGGCGCCACCTTGACTGTCACTACCACAGGCTCTTGGAGGTTGCGCACACAATTCTCTGCGTGCAAATTGTCTATCACTACTTGATCATACATTTCGGGAATACGGAGTCAGGTCTTGATCGTATCGTATGGTGCGTGGGCTACAATTATGCTCACTATGTTATATCGCGTCTCTGAATTTTATTTCATCATGTAGGAGCTTCCCAGTAAGTCGAATTATCCAAGAAGCTGTTTTTGTGGCGGGTTAACTATGTCCACTGTACTGAATAGGCCACGATTGTTCTTGAAGTTTGCATCGTGTGCATGAGTCAAGGGTACGTCTCCGTCAATCTGGACCAACAACTCCAAAGCGCTAATTAATTCGCTCTTAGGATGTACATCTACCGAATATGGTATCGTATGTATTTTCAAATGCTTATTTTGTGCCTACAACAACGCTAACGGGCCCCTCCTTTGGACCCAGTGAGCAAGAAGTCCATGCTCGTCGCAGGAGTCCCAGTATGTTCGACCGCTCAAACGTCTATAATGTATCTCTACTCAACGTCGTATAGTCTTTCTTCTTATTGTCCCGCTCATGTGCGTACATCAGATTGGTTTGCGAAGCTGTGGATATCAGGGCTAACGGTACGGCTTTTAGGCTTCAGTCTTGGTGAGTTTGCTGCACTGGTGTTATTTGTTTATTCATCAATTGATGGTATTTATTATTTTATTCTTTAGCGAGCGTTGCATTTCTGTGAGATGTTTATACTCTCCTTTGGTAAAGAGAGTTAAGGCTCATTATTACTGATTTTCAAAAGGTATCGTTACGACACTTGGGTCAATTTCCATGCCCATAGAGCGCCCCCGGTTCGTTGCATACCACTCCCTCGTCCATCTATTTTTACTCATCCCTGTCTCACCTCATAAAAACACAACAGGCAACTGTCACCAGTGCGTTCTCCCTCGCGGTCATGACTGATATTTCAGTTGCCTCCCTCCTGGTGTATTACCTGTACGTCCGAACAACGGTCACATTTGCCAGGTCGGTATGCCCACCTCAGCTCCTCGTATTGGTATCTCCAGATCTCATATGCAACGATCCCTGTTGCTTGGTAGGACGAGGCATATTGTTCAGACGTTAATGCTGTATACGATCAATACTGGAGCCATCACTATGTGAGTGTCTGAGCTGCTGAGCAGTGTCAGAAGAGAGATGCTGATGTTAGCTATAGATTGTTCTCCGTTGGTGTGCTTGCCACGGTGAGTGTAGTCATGGTTTGCAAACTGAGGTTTTCCGGAAACTGAAGCCATACTGTAGTTCAACTTGTTCAAGATGAGCCTTCTTTTCGGAGGGTTGATAGAGATCATCAGCAAGTTGTACGCTAATTCGATGCTAGCCATGTACGTCTTCCCTCTCATTCTGCGACAAATCTAAATGATGTTACTGATCCAGGCTCAATGCCCGACAAACGATTTTGAATCGAGACCGCGAAGGGGCTGACGTGTTCACGTCAGTAGAACTCACAAGACCGAGAGTGGGCCGTTTTTTCGGTGGCATGCCTGTGGATGATGTCTGATGTAAATTGCTTCAAATTCTGTGCAGGTCCAGGAAACCCGTGTTCAAATATACACTGAAACCTCGATTACACAAGACGTATGTGCCACCCGACGGTCTATCATGCATATTGTGTCTGCATCTCTGACGTCTTTCCTATTCTCAATAGGATCTAACTAGAAGACCCAATGCGCGCGACCCAAGCCCTGATGCTTACACGAAGGACAGCGCGAAGCTTGATGTGACCTACGATATTGCGCATGCTTGAGATGACTGTACTGCAAATGTGTTACGGAAAGCTTCAGTGTCGTATCGGCTTGATTTTATTATTTGCCTCCTTTACGCGTTCATTATTATGAAATAGATTTTGTCTCGCAACTTCCGCGCTGGAAATTCCGGGAAATTCGTTGCGGCGAGCGCGAATGTGTCATCGGCCAGGCCGGACGCCACCAAGGCCATCTGCACCATATTTAGACATACATCACCCGCCACGGACGGGGATAAAGCTCGAGGCCGAGCTGGAGCACGCCGGAATCACCGAGACTGCTTCGGCACGCTGAGAGTAAAGAAATATTAGTCATCTCGAAATCGGTCGACTTTTGGATTCCAGCCAATCATATCGCTCTTTCCACAATTCATGTGGGAAATATTTATCTGCCTTTTTTCCTCTTTTTGCCCCGTAACTCCCGACCCTGCCCACTGGCAAGACTCTTTCGTCGCCAACGTCTGTCACGACAGCGACTGCCCGCCCGCCCCCGCGTCCGACGATGTCGTCACTAAAAGTATCGTTCCCTTCGTCCATCCTATCCACCTCGTCCTCGGAAGCCATGCCAGCGTTCCCAAACCTCCTCCCTCGCGGCGGCTGGTTCTACACAACTGCTGCCATCGTCCTCTCCCTCCTTGCTCTTGAGCAGACCGTGTACAGATACAAAAAGCGCCATCTTCCAGGAGACAGATGGACTATTCCTATCATTGGCAAATTCGCAGACTCCCTGCATCCTACAATGGAGGGTTACATGAAGCAATGGCAGTCTGGTGCGCTCAGCGCGCTCAGTGTATTTAACATGTATGTGGCGCT